GGTGACTCAACCATTCTAAAAGAAAGGTTCGTGGTCAAGTGAAGTAGTCCATAAGCTGAATGATTTTTCTTGAGATATAGCATTTGGAATTGGATAAAGTTCAAAGAGGTCTCCTTATAGAATTTCCATTCGATTGAAGGAAAAGAAAGTTTGGAGAATATTAGAGATATAGGAGGTTAATGCAATATTGTTGTGCTATTGCTGTGGAGTTGTTGTGCAGTTGGGAAGCAGTTGAGAAATTGTTAAAGTTGTTGTTGAATCCGTTAGGCTTTCCAGCTAAGATTATAGGTAGTTAAAGTATACCTATATAAGCATGTAAGTGTACTGCTGAAAAGAGTTGAGAATAAAGAATATTTTACTATCTTTTACATAATTCTTTACATGGTATCATTTGCCATTCATCCTGGAGTTTCTTTGCTGCGTAATTGAGGGGTGTTTCTTGCCTGAAGTTGTTGTTCCTTTCGTGTGGAGGTTTCTTCAAGAAGTGTCACGATGTTCACAACTAAGAAACTGAATGTGGTTCTTGACGAGACGAACTTCTTGTTATGGAAACAACAAATCCTTCTTACTGTGAGGAGTCATCGCCTCAAATGATTGCTTACCGGTGCGATGCAACCTCCTCCTACAATGATTGCTGATGATCATGGTGTTTTGGTCTCTAATGAGGCGTATGAGGATTTTATTGCTCAGAATAGTGTTGTGGACTGGCTCTTGTCTACCATTAGTGCTCACTTGTTACCTCGATTTGTTTGTGCATAAACAGTTGTTGCTATTTGGAGTACGATTCTTCAATTCTTTGCCAACTGATCCACGACTGTTATGAATTTACACTATAAATTGCAGTCCCTTAAGAATGGGATGATAGCATGAGGGTGATCCTTACTCGGGTTAAGGAAGTGTGTGATGCCTTGGCATCCTATGGTAGTCCAGTTCCTGTTGTGGAGCATATCGCCAGTATTTTCAAAGGGCTTCCAAGGGATTATCAACCGTTCAAGGCCATCATAATGTCCAGTGGTGATTATCTTCCCTTAGATAAAGTCTACACTATGTTGGTTGATGTTGAAAAACAACTTGCTGGGTTTGTTGCTCAAAAAGAGAATGTTATTGTGAGTGCTTATATTTCCCATGGTGCAGTGGGTGGTGCTGATGGTGGTAGTCGTAATCCACCGTATCGGTTCCACTCTGGTGGTCGGTCTGGAGGACATGGTCGAGAGAGGTCGCATGTTCAATGTCAGCTTTGTGGAAAGGTTGGGCATCTTGTCAATCGATGTTGGCATAGGTTTGATGTGAAGTTCATTGTGTTGATGATAATATCGGTCAGTTCCGTTCTAAGTAGAGTTCAATTAATGCTAACTTTACGGTTGTGGAAAACTCTGGCTATAACTGCTGTCACACTAAGAAACATGGGATGGCTCAAGCAGATGATTTACCTCCTGCTCATGCAAAGCTGGCGTCTGGTTCTAATCAGTGGGTAGTCAATTCAGGTGCCACGCATCATGTCACACCCGAGTCTAAGAACGTAACTCAACGGGTTGATCATTTTGGTCCAGGTAATCTAGTTGTGGATAATGGTGTTTCATTAAAAGTTAATATGGTTGGCACTGCTATTTTACCTTCATCATCTCGTCATTTATTTTTGAATGATCTTATGCATGTGCATGGTGTAACAAACAACTTGCTTTCGGTTTTAAAGTGTGTTAGGGAAAATGAAGTTTACTTTGAGTTTCACTCGCATGGGTGTTATGTTCGTGATAGCTCTAAAGATGAAGTTCTTCTTTCAAGGAAGGTTAAAGATGGTATGTATATGTTTTCATAGTTCGGTTCTCCAGGTGTTTGTAATAAAGCTCAAGCTAATCTTTCTTATGTTAATGGTTCTAGCCTATATGATGTATGTAATAGAAGGTTAGGTCATGCCAGTTATAATACTGTAGTAAGAGCCTGTTTGAAATGACTGATGATTCTGTACCTGCAGTGAAAGACACTCTGGATGCTGTTGAGTCTAGTGGTGACCTGCATGGTTCTATGCAGGATGTTTCAGTGCATGGGTCACTGGACATGACATATGATTCTATACCTGTAGTGAGTTCTATTGAGGTGATGGTTCTTGGTAACCAAACCGATGTGCATATTGGTGACACTACTATGCAAGAACTTTCTATGTCTACTGCACCTGCTGTGAATACTCATCCTATGCTCACAAGGAGCAAGTGTGCATTTTCAGACCTAAAGTGTATGTAATGACTTCTGATGCGGTGGAACAGGCTAATGTGTATGAAGCATTGAAGTCTCCCAACTGGAAAGCAGCAGTTTATGCTGAGTTTGATGCTTTGCAGCTTAATGGTACGTGGACTATGATGAAGTTACCTCCTGGGCAGTCAGTTGTAGGATGTAAGTGGTTGTTCAAATTGAAAACTAATCCAGATGGTTCAGTTCATCGTTACAAGGCTCGCTTAGTTGCTAACGGGTACTCTCAAGTACTAGGGCAAACTTTCTGTCACACCCCAAATTAGGGCCTAAAAATTTTCTTAAAATTCTTTCGAGGACTAAATTGAAATTTTAATTAAATTTGGGGGCCAAAGTAAAATTTTGATTAAATTTAGATCCAAATTAAGAAATTATAAAAAACTAGAGGACCTAGAGTGTAATTTTACCATTTTCTTTTTAAAGACTATATAACCCCTAAATCTAGAAAATGTTTTTATTTGGAAACCTTATTTTCTCTCTCTTCAATCTTTTCTCTTTTAGCAAAGAAACTTCAATCGTCGTTTCATCGCTGACCGTTGCTCCGTTTTTGACACCTCCCACACCATCGTGTCCCTTACGTCTTCTCGAGTCCACCGATGTCTACCTTGTCTCCATTGTCGCTGGCGTATGAGGGGTAAGGAAGATAAAGTTTTTTACGTTTCGAAATCGAGCTCTCTGCCGTTCACCGTTGTGAACCGAGCTTGGTAAGTGTCTCAAAACCCCTTAAAAAGTACATAGGATTTTTTTTGTAATTTTTTCGACCCCCGAAGGCTCTAAACGTGCCCTCATACACCGTCCATGCGCGTGGGGAAGTTCCACCGCTTGGTGGACTTCTTGATAATGGGCAAACCCGACCCGCCTACCCAACCAGACTCGTGACTGGCCCGATCTGACCCGTCTATCTGACCCAATCCGACCCGACTTGAACCAAAATGGTCAACCGTTGACCGATATTGACTTTTTTTTAAAACCTCAATCTTGATTTTTTTGACATCCTGAGTCCGATTCCGCGATCTGTTTTGCAAAATTCTAACCCGAAAGCCCCAAATCGAGCCATTAATCCAAAAATGCTTAGTATTTTTAGCATTTTTTCTTATTTATTTGAGATTTGATTATGGAATTGATTCAAGAATATATTTCTAGGAAGGTACTCGTGATTCACCCCGATCGAGGGTTGGTTAGATCCGATGTTTGTCGTCCGTAAGATCCATACAATCTGCGTTCCTTGAGAGTGTAGGTATATGTAAATTGTTTAAATAGGGATTATTATTATGATTATTATTATTATTATTATTATTATTATTATTATTATTATTATTATTATTATTATTCCGATATGGATTTTTCGATTCATAGGATCTATCGCTACCGTTAATCGTGATCGACAGACTTAGTAATACGCTTTCTTATCAGACTACTCAGATCGGTACATGTGTGTTTCCTGATGGTGTTGCATTACTGTTTTAAACTGTTCATCTGAATTGCTTTAGATTTTTTATAATACTGGATATTTTTATGACGAGTTACCTACTTTTCTGAATAATGTTTATCAGATATTTGATTTACTGTACATTTCTAACATTATCTCTGATTTCTGTATTTTTGTATATGATTTATGAGTCTGGAATATTTTTCATGTTTTACTGAATTAATCTATTGTTTTCACTCGATATATATATATATATATATATATATATATATATATATATATATATATTTGTTTATTACTGTTATTGGGGGTATTATTGGAGGAAGTATCTCAGGCCTAGTCTATGAGTTGTAAGTCCTTACCGCAGGCTCCTCGGCTTTGTGCTCAGGGTAAATCCTTACCTCAGGCTCCTCGACTTTATGTTTAGGGTAAGTCCTTACCACAGGCTCCTCGGCTTTGTGCTCAGGGTAACTCCTTACCTCAGGCTCCTTGGCTCTGTGCTCAGGGTAGGTCCTTACCGCAGGTCCTTATGCTATGTGCATAATCCTTTACCGAGTGTAGAGGTAGGTGTATGGTTTTGAGGAACCTATACATTCTGGTGATCATATAGGGTAGTGTTCATATGTTTGATAAACTAATTTTACTAAAGTATTTTATTTGTATGTTTTTATACACCATAAGGAGTACACTGGGCTTTTTAGCTCATTCTTTAAATTTTAACCTTTTCAGATAGTAGCAGACCGTAGGCTAGCAGACTTGGCATCAGGAGGACCGACTACTCCTATTTTTGTACCACTTTATAGCTCTATATACCTTTTTGTTATACTTTGGTGACACTTGTTTTTTGCTTCCATCTCGATATATCTATACTACCGGTATTTTCCTATGTAAATGTTTTATATGATTTTTTTATACATGTATATATTGATATATGGACATTTATTGTATGAACTTTTCTTATGACTAATTTCATATTATACTGTATATGGATTTGAACGTTATTTTAAATATGAAAAGAAATTTTTGAATAAGATTTGTAACTGCCTAGATTTGGGCATAACGTCTAGGTCGGCTCTAGGGGGTTACACATTCAGTCCAGTGATAAAGTTTGCTACACTTCATGTTGTCTTGTCTCTGGTTATGGAGAGGCAGTGGTAGCTACGTCAGGTCGATATTAACAATGCATTTTTAAATGGAGAGTTGCATGAGGACGTCTACATGCAACAACCACCAGGGTTCGAGCAGTATGCTGAAGATGGTAGTCAGCTTGTATGTAAACTGAACAAGGTTTTGTATGGTCTTCATCAATATGCTGATGAAAGCATATATGGATAAATCCAGTCATGTGGTAACGCCTATGATTCTAAGCAAGTTGCAACCTAATGTTGGTGAACTTCTATGTGATGCTAGGGAGTGTCATAGCATTGTTGGAGCATTGTTATATGTGTGTCACACTCGACCTGATATCACCTTCAGTATGAATCAAGTAGCCCAGTACATGCATGCACGACGTCAGGGTCATCTTGTTGTTGTTAAACGCATACTTCGTTATCTTGTAAGCACACTCGATTATGGGTTGGTGTTATCTCCCTATGGTGTTAATGTGAAGGTGGTGGCGTTTGTTTATGCGGATTGGGGTGGTAATCCTGATGATAGAAAGTTAATTTATGGACATTGTGTATTTGTGGGAGATAATCTTGTGTCCTGGGCTTCTAAGAAACAGAAGACGGTTTCAAGTTCCACCATGGAGGTCGAATATCGCAGTGTAGATGATGCAACAGCAAAGGTGACTTGGGTTGATGTAGTTCTTTCAGATATGGGGATTGTACGGCAAGGGTGCCGGTTATTTGGTGTGATAACAGTGGTGTTGTGGCTATGAGTAGCAATCCAATGTATCATGCAAAGGCTAAGCATGTAGATCTTGACGTGCATTTTGTGTGAAAAAAGGTAGCTGCTAATTAGGTGCTCGTTAACTATGTCCCAGCTAGTTACCAAGTTGCAGATGGGTTTACTAAATTGTTATCCAAACCGTCATTTGAGCAATTTTGATCTAAACTGCAAGTGTTTTCGTTTGACCGTGAAAAAGGAAAAAAGTAGGAAGAATATTAGAGATATAGGTGGTTAATGCAATACTGTTGTGCTACTGGTGTCGTGTTGTTGTGCAGTTGGGAAGCAGTTGAGAAATTGTTAAAGAAGTTGTTGAATCGGTTAGGCTTGCCAGCTAGGATTATAGGTAGTTACAGTATACCTATATAAGCATGTAAGTGTACTGCTGAAAAGAGTCGAGAATAAAGAATATTTTTCACTATCTTTTACATAATTATTTACAGAGAAAAACTAATTTGGCATCAACAACCATGATTACTTTTATTTTGACTTGCTCGGGTGAATTTTGTTGTGCGAATTTGGTTGCAGTTCAATCATGTTAGCGTGTCATCATATGGTTTCGCCTCACACAGCCTTGCTGTTAGTTAGTCTTTTTTCGTGCCTACTTAGTCCTGCGTTATGCTAGGATATGCTGTGTAATTGGCTCTTGGGATTGTCGTGGAGGGGCCAGTGCCCGTCTTTGGTGTCTTCGTTTTTGTTAGCGTCAGTTGGAGCTGTAACTTTATACCTTGTTAAGATTACTCTTTTCCTCCAACTAGGTGTAGGGGGTTTTTAATGAGGCTCTTAAGTAGGTTTGTTTAATTAACAAAATCCTTCTTGCCGAGCGAAAAAAATTGTTGACTAGCTGTAAAAATCCTATTTTAGGTTTGATTTTTCATATTTCAATTGTATTAGTTGTTTTTGGTTGGATTCATTTTCTGCTTATTTAAAATCCAAAAATTTCCGCATTGTTCTTCTTAACATATGATTAAGATTTAAGAGTTGCTGCCTTTGTTAGTTATTAATATAAATTGTTATTTATGTACTTTTGTTTAAAATTGTTTGCAACAATAATAGGTTACTGTACTTTTTCTTTTGTTATTTATATAATTTGTTATATAAGGTGGAATTGCTTATGTGCTTATGTACTTTTGTTTTTGTCATTAATATAAACTGGTTTTGTTTTTGTTACTTATGCACACATTTTCTACTTACAATTGTTTGCGGCAACAGAAATAGAAGTTGGAATTGCTTATGTGCTTATGTACCTTTGTTTTTGTCATTAATATAAATTGTTTTTGTTTTTGTTACTTATGTACTCATTTTCGCTTAGAATTTTCTGCAGCAACAGAAATAAAAGAATACAGCACAGAAATAAAAAGTATATAAAGATGAAATTTCTTTGAAAATGAGATATTTGTAGGGTTAAAATTTTGTCGGTCGATTCGGATATGAAGAGTTAATTTCGAGTCAGGTCGGGTTCAGATTCGGGATAAGATTTAAAATTTCACGTGTCGGATCAATTTCGGATGTTTATATCTATTTTCGGGTCAGATTCGGGTGGGTGAAAAATTTGACCCGACCCGACCCTTTGCCATCTCTAATAATAAGTATAGTGGTGTATCAAAAAATATTTTTGAGGGTAGACAGATATATATTAAAAGTATTAAAAAATCTTTTTTTTCTAACCTAAGTTTTCTCTCAATATTTTTCGGTTCTTTTTCTTTCTTCAGTTTTTTCAAATTTAAATAATAATCTATTTTCCTGTGACACTTTTCTCTGCTATTGTAGCACATTTTTTCTCAGTTCTCATGGCACGTTCCTTATGATTTTTAGTACGTTTTTCGCATACCTATGTGGACGTGTTGGTGCTCGCAAAAAAAAACCTCACGACATTTATTTTCTGATTGGTATGTCGATGGTCACAATATAATCAGAATTGTGTAGCAAAACAACCTGCCAAAATATTTACCAAAGATAAGGAGTTTTATGGAAGTTGTTGGGTTCTTTTGATGTTGGATGTCGTCGAAACCATTTTTAGGTGGTTTAAAAATATTCATGGAAAATATATATGTTTTAAAAATGAGAGTAGCCATAAGTTGTTTTGGGTTAGGTACGTAAGAATAACTTTAAATTGGGCCTACATTCAGAACCAGAAAAAATAGGATTTGAGAGTCAGTTATATATGGGGAATGTTAGAGCACACTCACAACGTCAAAAAATTGGTACAATTAGAAACAATATATATTTTTGAAGAATTGTGAATACAAATTTAATCTAATTTTAATCTCACATATAAATGTAATTTTTAAATAAATATAGTGGACCTCGTTTGGAAGCAACAATTTATGCTCGTACCAATTCGAAAAAGGAGGCACAAATCATTTGCAGAGGATATTCCTTTATTACATATAACTAAAAGGGTCAAAATCTAACCACTTAGGAAACTACCTCGTTTAAGTCGACATAATAAAATTAAAAATACATCAATTTTTGAAAGACGAAAATAATTTTTAAGCAATGCAATTTTGGAAAATAGATAATGCACGAAAAGAACACATCATTAGTAACCACGTGGTAAGAACAAAATTATAAATGATTAGGCATGAAAATTAACAAAGAAACTACAGCAATTTATTAATCAATTTCGAAGTACGGTCTAACTTGAAACTAATTAAAAATTTTAAGCCACATTTAATAATCATATTCAATTTGTGGAGTAAACTGAATTAATTAAAAATTAAGCCAAGATTCATTTATCAATTTTTGAATAATGGACAAAATCAAAATCAATTAAAATATTAAAGTTAAATTCATTAATCAATTGCAAATTAGGGAGCAAATTAAATTAATCGAGAAATTTAGGCAAAATATCAATTAAGGATCTAATTGAACATAATTAATTATTATAGCTAAATTAATCTACTCAACTCTAATTAGGACCTAATTGAATTAATTAAAAAATTAGAAAACCTAATTACTAATCAAATTATGTATCTAGGATCTAATTGAATTAAGTAAAATACTACTGGCCAAGTTCTAAATGATTAAACCCAACTAGGATCAAATTAACTTAATTTAGTAGTTCAAAAATAATCATGCCAAATATATATTTTTTAAAATTGGGAGTCACCATCGATAGTTATGGGCTAAGTACGATTTTAAATTGAGTATGCATTTTAAATCAGATAAAATAGAGTTCGAGAGTCAATTATGCGTGGGGCATGTTAGAGCACTCTCACAACGCCCAAACAATTGTTACATATAGAAATTACACGATTTTTATTTTCAAATAACTGCAAATACAAATTTAGTCTAATTGTAATCCTACATATTAATGCAATTTTTAAAGAAATATAGTGGACCTCGTTTGAAAACAACAATTTACGATTGTACTCATTCGAAAAGGTGGCACACATCATTTGCCGAGGATATTCCTCTATTACATACAACTAAAAGTGTAACAGTTCAGCTTCTCAGTACACTACCTCGTTTAAGTTGACATAACAAATTAAAATTGCATCAATTTTTAAAAGACGAAAAAAAATTATGCAATGCAATTTTAGAAAACATATAATGCACGAAAAGAACTCATCGTTAGTAACCTCATGGTAAGAACAAAATTATAAATGATTAGGCATGAAAATTAACAAAGAAACGTGAGCAATATTTTATTAATCAATTTCAAATTACGATCTAACTTGAAACTAATTAAAAATTTTAAGCCACATTCAATAACCATATTCAATATATGGATTAAACTGAATTAATTAAAAATTAGGCCAAGATTCATTTATCAATTTTCAAATTATGAACAAAATCAGAATCAGTTAAGAAATTAAAGTTAAATTCATTAATCAATTGCAAATTATGGAGCAAATTAAATTAATCGAGAAATTGAGGCCAGATATCAGTGAAGGATCAAATTGAATCTAGTTAATTATAATAGATAAATTAATCAATTAACTCTAATTAGGACCTACATGAATTAATAACAAAGTTAGAAAACCTAATTACTAATCAAATTATGTATTTAGGATCTAACTCAATTAACTAAAAAATAACGGCCAAGTCTATATGATTAAACCCGACTATGAACAATATGAACTTAAATAGAAAATTTAGGGATTACCCAAGTTACCTAAATGACCACATTAAACTAAATAATTAATTTCAAACCGCACATGTGAAATTTAAACATGGGAACAGGACAAAAATGAATGATGTTCAAAGATGGCATGACTACAACATGGATTAACCCTTGAAAATCCAAAACACATCAATTTGTACCCAAGCAGATGACTCAAGTAACATCGTGGGCCCCACATATAATATATTTTCAAGGGTTTTTACCCTAATATTCAATCTGCAGCATTCATTCCTTTTAAACTCAAATACAAGAAAAAAATGGAAATTTTAGCCATTTTACCTTTTATTGCCTGAGATTGAATCGTTAGATCGCGGTGACCTTCGATTATGGTGTTCCTCGCATCGTCTCCTATTGCTTAACTGTTTGGATCGATGAAATGAGCCTTCGATCGTCGGAAAACACCCAAAGTCGAAAGGTAAGTTTCTTCATTTCTCTTCTCTTTTTCGGTTTTCCCTTTCCGATTTTGACCTTTTTGAAACCGATTTTCAGTGGAAAGATCGATTCGACATTTTAGAAAATAAAAAGGCTTTTTATGAAAAGATGAGAGTCGCCACTAATCATTTTTAAGGTGAGATTGGAACACCTAAAATCAAATAATTTTAATAAAACATTTTATTTTACTAAAAATACCAAGTTTTGGTCTGCAAAATCAAAAATCAGCTTCGGGAGTCAATTACACGTGAGGAAAGATTAACACCCTACAACGCCCAAAATGGTACGTAGTTGACAAATATTGACCTAATATTCAATGTATATAAAGAGGTAGTGGTCCAATGAAATAGGTTAGCTTGTATTACTCTTAGAGAGTTTTTCAACAAGAGAAAACTTATCTTCTTGAAGATCACAACCAAAGAAGATTAAAA